TACTATCGAATCGTCGGTTCGGAATCCGGGCCCTGGTGACTGGGAGTATCACCTTGCCTGTGTTCAGAGAATGATTCCATTTTTTCATGCTAGTGGTCACTTCCAGTACGCGTGATGTGCTCATCTGTATCTGCAGGATATGATCCAACGTGAAACAAGAATGGAGACAAATGAATTCGAGCTATTTGCCCAGCAAGGATAGTTTACTATTAGAAGAGGCTATTCCTTTTGGAGTGGCGTTTGGTCTGACATTACCATAGAGCAAACTTTGATACGCAGCATGAAGAGCTATGGAGGAATGAGTCGAGGAAGAGAGATTACCTCTTCGACGCTAGCTAAATGGTTACAAGCGATGGTAACAAGCAATTTATTCGAACAATTTGGAGGGGTATATTTTGTGTCGGGTGATCAACACGTAGATCTACTCTTGTCTTGTCAACGCAGGGATCCAGAGGATAGGAGAAAGCTTCACGTTTGGTGCATAAATCATTATCCTTTTCCAAAGACTGAAAAACTCATTTCCTTATCAACAGGCATTGTGGTTAGTTTTGACGTAAATTGTCACCTCGCAGAAGAAGCTTGTAAATAGTTAATGAGTAAAACCGTGGAAAACAACTTTGCAGATATAAAACTACATCGCAAGTACAAAGTTTTATCACTCGGAGCGATGAGCAGTGCTATCAAGATCAATGACGAGACTGTAGTTGTCGATCCATTGTTATTATTCTCAAGGATTGCGATTGGGAAGAAGGACGATGAACATTTGGAGTCGTATTTGGGGTATGAATTCGCTCCCTATCCGATAGCTTTATTCAACGAGGGCTGTATGAGGAAAACTAGAAAAACAGCTTTATATGATGTTCTACCGAATACCGATGTTACTACCTATAGATTTCAAAAATAGTATCATGGTTACAGATGGTGGGTCCCGTCTGCACCGTACTAAGTGGCAGCTGGGATCATCTTATTCCGAGATATGTGATCAGTACATTAACTTTGTGAAATTTCACTATAGACCACATACTACTGTCGAGTTTGATGGCTACAATGACGCAAGTAACAGTACGAAGACATCGGAACAAAAACGAAGAGGGGCAGCCAAATCATCTATTGATATAAATTTTGATCTGGTTATGAACGTTACTGTTCAACAAGAGCATTTTCTGTCAAGTGTCAACGCATTAAACTACTTACAGTTGCTGGCTGCGGAAATTGAATCAAGAGTGGCAGTGAGTGATGCTGACTGTACAATTATAAGAACCGCAATTGAGAAAGCTGCAAGCAATTCTGTAATTGCTGTTGTTGGAGAAGATGTTGATCTTATAGTCCTTTAAAGGGCTCTGGCACCATAAGCGAAGGAAATATTTTTTGTTTAGCCAGGAAGAGGGAAAATAGAAACTAGAATATTTTCTTCCCAAGAACTCTAAAAACTTTCATTTTGTTGTTCCATTTTTTTTCTTCACAGTTTCAGCGATTGCGATACAACTTCAGCCATTTTTAGAAAGGGCAAATCATTGTTTTTGAAACGTTTTGACCAAAATCGATTAATAAAGGTCATAGCAGCCATCTTCTACTATGACGCAACGTCAACTCAAGAAGTGATAGTAGAAGCAGGAGAGATGTTTTTGACAATATAGCGTGTCCCTTCTGATCAGACTGATCTAAACAGCCATTGATACTAAGTTTTTTTGAAATCCAGCACCAAGCCTAAACTGGATCTTTTTTCCTTGCCACCGATCAAAGGATTACTAAAAGTTTACTCGTTTAGAGTTTACCACCAAGTACAAGAGTGGCTGGGGAACCATTGCCTCCTGAAATGTGGGGATGATGTAAGCGAAAAAAAAACCTTTTACCCCCAATTGCTGGCTCAATCCCCACCATCGCGGGGACTTTTAGTATTTATCAGGACACCCCAATGAATAACTATACCAAATGTGAAAACTACACGAATTATTTCGGCTTATCATCAATTTTCAGTAGTAATAGCCCAAGGACATTGATAATTGACCGAAAAAAAATTTATAACAGATTTCGAAAGCTTGTTGCTTGACGACGCGCTAGCGGAGGTCTGTTTTCTATAAGCAACAAGCTTGAGAAAGTTGTTATAAAATTTTTGAGCATTTATCAATGTTCGAGGGTTATTCGGATAGAAAATTTTTTGACAACATGTCCGAGACAATGTCATAGAGTGAATACAACCCATGGGCTGTTTGCCGTATAATTTTGACATGATTGGGTGATTTGTGTCACAGGACAATAAATAACAAAATTCAACTGGCTGTTAGAACTGTCAAAAAAATGTTCAGCCTTTTCCTAGGCTACTATGCTGAGTTTGTGATTTGAATTTGCTTAAATTCAAACTAAAAAAACCTATTTCATTTGTAATATCATCAACAATTCTACATAATCTATCTAGGAACATTTCGGCCACATGCGATAGTTTCCTAGAACCTCAAGAACGTACCTAATGACTATACCAAATTTGAAAGACTTTGGCAGAAATTGCACGTACGATTCTTATGAATTTCCCCTATGCTATATCGAGATTTGTATGAAATTGTACCTGACAATCGCAGGTGGTGAATTTTTTTTTTGACAGTTATCATTAATTGCGAACTCCAGGCACCTATACGAATAACGAGAGTAGACTTTCCTACGAATCTCGATATAGGGGAAATTCATAGGAATCGTGCACTTTGTGCCAAAGTCTTTCTAAACTGAATGGGCCTTCTAATTAAATAATATTTTTTGAAAAATAGAAAAACCCAACCAAAGGGTTGAGGTTCCAAATACAGGAGGAGTGCACGAAAAAGTGTTTCAAAGGGGTCCCCCGCCCAAAGCTGTAGAATGATCCAATAATCCAATTCAACATGTCCTAAAACCCTTGTGTACCAAACATTATTGATTCTTGTACAACAGGGTTCTGAGAAAAAAATATTATTCTTAGGGGGCTGCAACTCCAAAAGGGAAGGTCATTTACCAAAAATAAAAAAATCGGGTCCACTATTATTATTATTTTTTTAAATCTGAACAAATTTTGTTTCATTTACAAACTATTAGAAGGCATTTCCCTGGCCAATAAAAACATGTAGGTATGTGCAGCAGGATTTATAATAAAATGAGAATGAATGTAGAAAATGAAGTTCCTAAAAAATCAACGTCATCAGCTCACGTACTAAATATATATCTTTTAACTCCATCACAAATTTTATTTACCATTATATAAAAGTTGGCTTTCCGAACGAAGGGCATAGAAAGTTTGAATGCGGTAACAGCAACGGCAGAGCAGAGCAGCAGCTTTTTATTTGTTTTGTAGTTTTACTACGTTTTACTATGGCTCGGGCCATTCGTTCATTCATTCATTCATATTTCTCCTCATTCCTCCCTCTCCCGCCGCTATCCTATTCGGGAGTGGGAGTGGAAGAGAGAGGTTTTGATTGTTTTTGTTTGCTATGTTAAGCCCAAACTTTATGATCTTGTTAAAAAGTTTAACGTTTAACGTTTGGACTTAAATTAGGGCGATTGAATTCGAAGAATTTAATGTACCTATTTAATTGAACAAAAAATTTAATCTAAAATAGTTTAATTAGTGAATGTAATTTAATTCTATTCAGGAAAACGAAAACTTGAATGACATTAGAGATTATCAAAAGCTTATCCAAACTATTACCAAATAATGCTTTGCCAAATGACGTATTGAGTATCTGATTAAGAATAAATATTCCCATTATTGCTGAAATAAATAAAACAAAACTACAGTTTTAAACGAAACCTTTTATTTCCGTAAAAAAATACCATAATGTACAAGACAATAGCCAAAATAAAAAGAAAATTCTGAATTTAAACCAAAAATAATACACTAAACCCATCGAAAATCATTTAAAAAATATAATACCAAAAATAATACTTAGTTAAAGGGGCCAGAAGTAAATTATTACAATAAACAACCCTGTATTTTTTTATTAATTAGGTAATAATCATTACTATATGGAGATCAATAATATTTATTAACTATAATTACTAATTAATAAAAGCGTAACGAAATATGCATAAATTATTGCAAATAAATTATTTAAAAAAAAACTTTGGCAGGACAAAATGCTCACATTTCAAAATACACCATTACAAAAAAAAAGTAATATAATCAAAGGTACACAAAGTTGAGCAAAAAACATAATACACCGTATCAGCAGCATATTATTATTAATTATATGAATCAATTATCATTTTGGCATCAAAAACCTTATTTATTTAATATAACAACAATCATAGAAATTTGCTTATATACTAAATAGGGATTTTTTTATTTATATACAAAGAAATACATTAGATACTTTTGAAGAGAAGGGCGTCATTACATTTACCACTGGCAAACAATACAACATGGAATCCCTTTGTAGCTTACCTACCCCTAAAATGAAAATAAAAAAGTTTCAATTTGTTCAAATAAAATCCCAGGAATGACTTTTTAAAAAATTACGAAAAATTATTATGTACAATAAGAAATTTTTTCAGGTGAGACTGCCCCTCAAGAAAAATACAATTTCAGAGATCATTTTTCTCAAAAAAGTTTAACAAAAAAAAAATAAAAATTCTTTCCAAAAATACAATCCCAATTATATACAACTATATACAAATCACAAAGGTAACATTCAGGACCGATATACCTAGAGGCTTAAGCAACTTGAGGCTTAAATCCTCCAAAATTCGTTTCAAGTAAATTAAATTAACTTAAAAAATTACAATGAGAAAATCATCAACAGCCACACTAGCTTTGGTTTGTAAAACAGGGAATATTAAACTTTATATTTAAGTACATTTATTATATGGAAAAGGTAGCACCCTGTATAAACCGCCCCAAAGTTAAAGTTTTACCTTGCACTGGAAAAAAAAAAACGAGCTTATAATTTAATTTGCCCTGTATCCAGTTTCAATAACAAATTGTTAAACAATCAACACTTATTGATCAATTAACAAAATTTATTGTTGTCAAAAATTCCTTACTTTCTTTTAACTTTATTGCGAATTTGGCAATCTTTGCGATCGAAAGCGTTTTTTAAATTTTTAATTAGACTTTGCACAGTGTGTAGCTGTAATGTAGTAACTGAAGGATCACTGCAATGCTCTAACCAATTGAGGAATTTTTCTCCGTGCTCAATAGCCTCGTGAGCATCCAACGAATCCCCATCTTCTTTTTTAATACCACACTGGATGGTGTTGTTGTTCAAAAGCAAATTATCCAACACCGATCTACTTTTATTATTGTTCTTTGGTTTTTCGTCTTTGGTAGTTTCCGAGGCAATGTTTTCGCAATTGCTGACAACCTCCTTTTCGCTCGAAGGTTCTTTGGTTAATTGCTGATAAAGAGTTTGCTGAGGACTGATTGGTTGTTGTGGCGCTGTGCTGGCAACTCTGGCATTGGACTGCATCTGAGCTGCGTTATAAGCAGACTGTTGGTACCAGTTCCAAAGGGCCAAATTCTGTTGACTGGTCAAATTGTTGGAGTCTGTAATGGTATTGGTGTTGGATGTTATCGTAGAAGTGTTTGGTAAGTTACTCAATACTGATTGTTGAGTGTTGTTGTTTAGGCTCAATAAAGATTGTTGCCTCAACCAATAGGAAACTGAGTCGTAAACGGATGGTTGTTGCTCTATATTGTTGAGCATTTTGTCCCTTTTATCTATAGTAGTTAAAAGTCCATTGTTTGTTGGAGAGCATAGTTTAGTGCCGTTTTCAATAGGTGAAGTGACTCCAATGTTGGATTTTCCTTGATGCAAAGCGGCTTTTTGTTGTTGCTGATAAAACCAAGTTTGGTAGACACTTTTCCATTGCAAGAGGGCTGTAGTGAGGTCAGTAAGGTTGCTAGTATTATTTAAGGTTGACATTAAAACTTCAGGACGATTTAATCCTAACTCAGCACTGAGCCTTGCAAGTTCGGCTCTATTTTTTTCGCGCTCCTTTTCTTTTTCAAAATTGTTGTTGGTAGTTTTCGGTGTTGAAGCTGCTAGGATTGGTGTAGGTTCAACTTTAATGGTGCGTAAATTGAGAGGTGAAGTTTCTGATTCGGCTTCGCTGGATTTGGGGTATTCGCCTTCAAAGTTGCTCTCGGAATTTGGTGAGTAGGAACCATTAGAAACATCGCTTGTTTTCATGCTTAGATTATAAGGTTGATCTTCGAGTTTTATACGTTTGGCTGGTATAAGATTGAGGTTTTCAGGTGCAGCATCTTCTAAGTTAGAAGGACTCGTTCTTACTTGGTAGCTGATTTTTTCTTGGTTTTTACACCATCCTCTTAAAGTCGACTCAGGCACTCCGATATCTCTGGCAACTGAAGCTTTACTTTCACCACCGACACTGACACGTTTGATGGCGCTAAGTTTTTCGTGGGCCGTTAACGACCTCAAAGGCCGCTTACCGGCTTTTGTAGCTGACATCGCTTACTCTATATTTGTAGTTCACACGTGCACCAAAACAAAATGCGCAGTTCAGAAAAAGTTTTTCAAAAGTTTCGCACAAACAAACAAAAAGTGGCGGTAAAAGTTTTAAAGCCGCGCGATGTGCGAACGAAACAGCGGGAAATAAAGCACCGGCGCGTTCGCGTAATATTTGGACTGCTTCGCGAGCCACGACCGTCGGTAAATAACTGAACTCACAAACTGACTCGGAAGGACTACTAGAGGAGCCCAAGTGGTAAGTGGTGGCGAGCGCGCGATAGAGTAGGAGACCGGCTAGGGCGAATAGTTTCTTGAGAGTAAACGCCGGTGGTGGTCAGTTCCTTTGTCCGGTCTGATCAATACTTGCGAGAACGGACCGTACTGTTGCGGAGCGCAGGGGCAGAGAGTGAGGAAGAAGGACCCGCAGCAATAGGCAGAGGGGTGTATGGTTCGGGTATATACAGAACATCGCGTGTCGTGGCTGCCTTGACGTGGGGACAACCAACCTGCCACCACCCCACCCCCTCACGGTTGGACCGACCCCTTTGCGCGAAGACGCATTCACGCAGCCAAAGAACTCGCAACGGTGGCGCGGTCCCCCCTAGAGGGTCGCTGCTCGTCTCCTACGTCACGTGCTTCCACAGCTGATCAACTATACGTGCCCTTCTCGCCGCGCCGCGTCCTTTGCACGTCAAAAGGCTGATCTTGATGATGATGAGCGCAGGACGTCACTTATGAGCCGTCCAGTGCGGGCGAAACTTTATTTTTCAGAGGTTTTAATTTTTATTTTATTTTTTCCAGTTTTCGCCCAGTTATTATTTGGTTCTCTCAGCAGATTTTACTAATTATTATAACAGCGACTAGTGTCCCAATAAAAAAATTATCATCCTGTTTTAACTTTAAAATGTAGGTTTGGAGCCTACCAGAACTACTAAGCACTCGGCATCTACTCTATTATTGACTACATTTGCTCAAACCTAGCAGAGATGCTGTCTGTCATATAAATAATTTGGCCCTATACAGGGTGTCCCAGCGGGAAACCAATCGATGTCAATGTCAATGGGGGCTTCCCGGTTGAAATATTTTCAAGATGGTGACACTTCCGGTTATACCGGATGCAAACGTCAACATGCTTACTTGAAATGAAACACGCACCCTCTACAGGGTATCCGGATTAAAAAAGTTTTTAGGTAGGTGGGGATTGTCGAAACCATTGAAGATACAGCGTGGATCAACAGGGAACAGAACCAATTATCTCTCATCAACTTCTCAGAATTCGGATTAGCAACGAATATACAGGTTAAAAGAGAAAAAAGTGCGTTTTATACAATCGCTTATCTTGCTATTATAAAAGATACAATCAAGAAATTTCCAGGGTAGGTGTAGGACTGGATGTAAATATACATGTAATGTAAATACATACAATACAAGGAGTTTATGAAACACACTTTTATCTTTTTCGACCTGTATATGTACAGGGTATCCGGAAAGTCAACGATAATACTGAAAAAGCTGATGCAGCAACTCATTAGCATCAAGAAAAACATAATATGACCTTAGTAAAAAATCGATGGTTTCCGAGATATTGTCACATTAATAAAATTCGCTAAAACCGTCCTTTTGGATCAGATTTTCGAGTGTCACCTTAAAATTTTCATCATTCTTAGATTCTGAATTCAGTTTTGCAATGGTGAATGAACATTTCATTTGTCATAGACCAACATTGAAAGTCAAAGTTCAACATTCACTAAAAAATCTTTTTAAAGTGAAGTATCAGAAGTATTCACTTTAAAATTTTTTTTAAGTAAATGTTTTGAACTTCGACTTTGAATGTAGGTCTATGACAAATGAAATGTCTATTTACCATTGCAAAACTAAATTCAGAATCTAAGAATAATGAAAATGTTAAGGTGACACTCAAAAATCTGATCCAGTGGACGATTTTAGCGAATTTTATTAAAGTGACAATATCTCGGAAACCATCGATTTTTTACTAAGATCATATTATGTTTTTCTGGATGCTAATGAGTTGCTGCATCAGCCCTTTCAGTATTATCGTTGACTTTCCGGACACCCTGTATATCTGTGGCTATTCCGAATTAAAAGAAGTTCATGACAGATTATTTGTAGGCACTTGATTGCGCTACTTCTTCCCCATTTGGTCCAGCCTGTACCTATGACAACGTTGAAAAAGAATCAAATGCTAAAGAAATGTATTAACCTCTCATTTACCATTTAAAAATAATTAATAATCATGTCGGGGCATTTAAATTATACACACGAAGATTATTTTTGAAGTTATGTGACATTTATATAAAATAGAAGCCACGAATTTTTTTTATTTTTTGAATGACTTTATTGTTCACCCAGTATGGCACGGCTTATACATATCAACCATTCAACCCCACTGAAAAATCACTTCTGGCAACTTGACGTGAAAATCCGTGAATTACATTCTAAAAAGTTCAATTTTAAACAAGTTACAGCAATTTGAATATGGGGTTGAACATTTTGCGAGTGTGCCATTTAAAGTTAGAAAATGGTAGATAGGTAAAACGTAAAATGATGAATTATTGATAGATTTTGAGTGACGAAATTGATTTTTTCTGATCAAAGTTATCGTGTTCGATGTTTAGTTCAAAAGTGACGATTGACAGAACGTGCATGGCCAACTATAGGTCTGTTCTCAAAGGCGTATCTGACAGTTTGCAAACTGTCAGACTCAGAAAGCATCGCCAATGCATGTTTTCAATGCCGTTGCAGGCAAGTAATTGTTCCAACATAAATCGGTAACTTAGCTGAGTGTTTGTTTCTGAGAGTTTGCAGTTTGCAAAATGCCAGAGACTCTTGCGAGAACAGACTTTTTAAGATGACTTTATAGCGTTAGCCACATAGGCGCCAGAATTTCAAAATTACTATAGGGGCTCGGGCTCCAAAAATTAACATAAGTAGAATTAATTAGACAGACAGGACTAGGCTACTAGTACTAGACATATAGACTTAAATGGGACCACTTGACAGATAGCCAGTTCACTGCAGGATCGCCACGCTGGATCATTGATCGTCCCTGCAGGTTCCTTCATATTATTGAAATTCGTGCATCTTCGGCAGCTCGGCTATACACGGCTTCGACAGCACCATTGGTGTATTCAGGATTTTGTCTAAGGAGTGGAGAGGGGGAAGAGGCAAATTAGCAGGAAGTGATCCTTGCAGCAGTAGCAGCTACAGGAAGAAAAGCGCCGCAGCCGCGAAATTTTTGGGTCTTTTTACGGTATTTTTGGGACTTCTAATGATGGGGCAAGCGGAAATGCGGCTATTTCGACAAATTTTGATAAGAAGTTATAGTAGGGCGTTATTTATATTATAATGTATGTATTTGATTATTTTCCATTTTCAATCTATCTATCTATCTTCTATCTATATATATAAAAATCAAAGTTCACGGGGTATCCGGATATGCGCTCCAAAACCACTTATCCGATTACGATGAAACTTTGGTAGGTTGTTATGGCCATCCCAAGGAAGGTTTGTGGATAGGTTACGCATCTCGGAAAAATAAATTAATTTTGAATTAATTATTAATTTAATTGTAAACAAACTCATTCACATTACATAACAACATAACCCAACTTTTTTTGACAGCATGAAACAACGTTGCCATATTTCATTTATTTAGGCTTGCATTCAACCGACGTAACTTTATTATTTTTTGAATTCAAGAACGGCTGGACCGATCTTGAATTAATACCACGTATCTCTATATAAGGTGAATTCGATTGACCCAGATTAGATCGATTTGAGTTCAATTTAAGTGAACTTCTTCTGATCTAGATCATTTTTTTGTTGATGAGGGTGCACTGATCCAGCTTGAATCGAACACAGTGTGGTTCACTTAAATTGAACCAGATCGATCTAATCCGGTCAATCGAATTATAGAGGAGAGTGATATAGGCTATTTTTTATCCCGAAAAAAAAGTTCGGTTGCGTAAAACTCTGATACACTGGAACGCCTATAAACAGCTCGGGGCGCTCTACAGCAGCTCTGGAGTGCTTAAAATGCGTCACTGAACTCACTGGCAAGCGACTATGATATCGGATTAAAAAAAAAAAAAAATTAAATAGAAAATCAACAACAAAGTTTGAAAAGAAGTGTACCTATTATTTCAAAATGTATTTACATGCTGGCAACGCAGCGGGTCAGTAGCTAGTTATTAATAAAATTCTAAGGCCTTTGCCTTAACCGGCTACAAGCCAATTCTACTTATTACTCCCTATGTGTCTAGTAGGTTTGTCCAGTCTGTATATACATTTTCCATGATAAACTAGGTAGAAAAGGCCAGCACATCATGCAAACGGAATTAACGGAAAGGAAATATTCCAACGACTTATTGAAAAAACGTTTAGGCCTACAAGTGCCTCTTGGTGTAACACTTCATCACGCTTATTCATCAAGACAACTTATTGATTTTCTGTATGGCTTTGGAATTTGTTGTAGCTATGACGAAGTAATAAGGTACAAATCTTCAATAGCAACTACAATTTGCCGTAACATGCAATCAGCAAACTTCGAACTACGGGGAGCAAAAGCTTGAAGCCCGATTGTCTAATTCAAACGGTAGTGGACGATTTTGATATACAGATCTCCTCAGCAAATGGACTGAAATCAACACACTCATCCCTCGCTATGATGCGTCGCTTTCATTCAAAACAAATTGAAAAAAACTCGACTTATGGCACGAATCAAACTTATAAATAAGCTAATGGCATGGCCAAAAAATGAACTACCTATATACAGGTTTGACAGGTCAACAACAGGCCAGTTTTAATGCAATAGAATGAAATGTCTAGAAACACTCTAAGGTTGAATAGAGAACGAAAGATAACGATTTCCCCTATCCCACCTTCAGCATTCCCAGCGCTCTTTGGCCACCTTGTTGTTGTCTCCCTCCGCTTCGCGAAGGGAGGCAAACCACATCTCGCTCTAAAATCTAACACTTTTT